AGGTGACACATGACACAAGTGAATGGTGCAGCCCTGAGACTGGAAGGTAAAGTCCACTGCAAAGAAATGTGACAGGGTTTTTTTTCTATTTTTTATGGATTTTGTATTACTATTAAGATAAGATAAACTGTGTATTTATTTATTTATTTATAAAAAAAATATATATATATTTATCTATGTATTTATTTATAGTTTTCATTCATTCATTTATGTATTTGTTTATTTCATTTATTTATTTCTGTCTTCTTGTCTTTGTGCTGTGTTTGTTCTCTTTGGGGGTTGTACTTTTGTGTTTTTTAGTCAATAAAAATAAAATTAAAAAACAAATGTGTAGTTTGATCACTAGTTTTAACATATGTATTCTCTGAGTCACTTTTCAGAGGGGAAAGTGAAAAATTAAGACCATCTTAGCCTTTGTTTAGAGTCAGCTGTCACATAAACGTTGACATTTCGATCCTTGCCGTTGGTCAAGGTTGGCTCTGCTCATGATGTGACTGAGGTTGTATTCAAAACATATGCAGAGTGTCTGTGGATGACATACGACTGATGACAAACAGGAATGTGAGGCCTCTTCCTCTGGATCTGCACATGCCTCAAGACGATTCAGCCAGAACATATAGAGAGCTGCATTAACAAGACATGAAGACAAGGGAAAAAACAGGACATAAAAGTATATATGGAGGACTTCAAAAAACAAAGGGCTCCCAAGATGTCCTAGGTATTCTCTGGGGTCTCCTTCCACTGGGAACTCCCCGACACAGCGGCAGAGAGGAGGGACACTGTCTATTCTCAGCTGGCTCCTCTCGACCTGGGGGAGCAGCACATCTTGTCTGAGCAACGTAGGTAACGTAGATCGACTGGTAAATAATAATACATCATACTAATCATACTAATACAGCGCTTTTTTGGACATTCATAAATGTTTTACAGAAGAACAAATCAGAAACCAAATGAGTAGTTAAGTGTAGGCAGGTTTGAAGAGGTGGGTTTTGAAATTGAGAACTTTGCACCGATCTATCTGTCAATCTCATGCTCTATGCTTCCCTCATTCACGAACAAGACCCCGAAAAGACCTGAACCCATGGCACCTCTTTCCAGTCGAGCACCAAGGCCTCAGATTTGAAGGTCCTGATCTTCATCTCAGCCGCTTCACACTCGGCTGCAAACCGAACTCCCAACAGACCCTGGATGTGCCTAAACAATCTGTCCTTAAAAACAGTGAACATAACTGGTGACAGAGGGCAGCCCTGGGGGATGCCAACATGCAGGGAACTGGTCGGACTTACTGCCGGCGATACAAACGCAGCTCTGACTGATGGCTCTCAGCAGAGGACCCCAATAACGTCGTCATGGACCAATACATTTTCTCACAACATTTCTGTGTTCAAGGAAAGCATGGCTCATAGACCGTGTAGTATAGGACCCCAAATCCTGTACTCCGAGAATAACACAAAAATAACACCACAAGGAAAAGCAGATCCAGAAGGACATTCACACATCAAATAAAACTGAGGTCAAAAGTACTAAAGCAAAGTCCAAAATTCTGAATTCCAATCGTTTTTAAAAACGATTGGGCAAACAATAAATACAGAATCAATACCATTTCCTGAGGACTAATGAGGTTTTGAAACAAACAATAGTATTTAAGGTGTGAGGTGAAAAGTGTGCTTCTGTCTGCGCTGGATTAGCTTCTGCTCTGTGGACACACGGCGGCTTGTTTTGTGCTCCTGACAGAATGATGAACGTGCGCTTGATAAACAAAGACCTCCCGCTAAATCATCCCCATGCATCACTATGGCGACGCATCCACCGGCGGCGTTCGGGAGTCTGCAAGCACTTTACCGCAGCCCTTATACGGAGAGCTGCGTGCGATTAAAGATATGTACAGTTCAAATGTGCTGTGATGGTTTGCAGGACTCAGGGGACGCCCCAGAGTCAGGGCAGGTGCTGAGAAAGTCTGTCTCCAACAGTAAACAAAAAGAGGACACGCAGTACAGACCCAAACGTCGAGGGGAATTGAAAGGGTCCCTGAGATCTTAAATTCAGAACATATTTGGTAGAAAACTGATTATTTCTGCTGAACTTTTTTATAATTTGATTTCAGAAGCACATACATAAACTGGGAAAGGTCAAAGTTTTTGTCATCTCTGATTTGTTGAGGTTGACGGTAATTGACGGTAATTGACGGTAAACGGTTTTTTTACGGTAATTATAACTTTCTGCAGGTGGAAGGGCAGCTATAGTTTTTTTAAGAACAATTCCCATATATGCTCTCATGCACTCTCTCTCTATCTCTCGCTCTTTTCTCGCACTGTCTCTCTCTGTCTCACTCTCTGTCTCTCTCAGTTTCGCTCGCTATTCTCTGTCTCTCTCTCTCTCTGTCTCTCTCATTCGCCCTCTCTCTCGCTCTTCTCTGTCTCTCTCTGTCTCTCTCACTATCTATCCCTCTCTCCCTCTCGCTCGCTCTTCTCTGTGTGTCTCTCTCTCTCTGTCTCTCTAAAAAAAACAAATAAACAAGTCATTTCCACTTTGCTGGAGCTTAAACATCACTAAACATTAAACATTTCTAAAGTATCCTCCGATGATAGATAGATAGTCAAAAGTATTTATTCAGAATACATACAGTTTTACCAAATTCATTATATAAACATGTTTTCTTGTTTGTTCTTATGTGCCTTGTTTGTTATTATGCACCAAAACTCACTTTTGAATCGAAAAACTTGTGTGTTTGGATGGAATTACTCTTCGGAATTAGACTTTACAGACAAGGATTGTGTCAACCCGATGTCCTGACCTCACTTACATGTTTTCCCATGATGCATAGTGTTTGGAACAACTACAGACGCCAGCATCCAGAAATAGAGCCTTGTGCTGGGTCGGCTCTGGGAACAGGCCAGAGCCGACCACCTCCTCCACACAAACAACAGGAGCGAGGGTCTCCCATGGGGCCACACAGCAGACCACTAAAGTGTGGGCGTTTACTATTTATGGCATAGGATTCATTCTAGTCTTCTTTGATAATGTTCAAATCCAGGTTAAAAAACAGTTAGGTTTAGTTAAATGTGTGTGTCTGTTTCTATCTTGTTTTGTTCAGCACTTGTTGTGTTGTGTATGAACTGTGCTATACAAATAACTTTCCTTGTTTTGCCTATTTAACACGCTATCAATGTTTGTTTCCAGAATCTATCTATTAATGCAAGTAATCTCTGTCTGTGTTTCTGAGGAGCACATATCTCGCAAACAAATCTTCTGATCAATTTGAGCTTCTAGAGGTTACATTTAGACTATTCAATAAAATGTTCAGTATTTTCTTTTCAGACGACTATAAAGTACATTTGTTAGCTTACGGATTAGCATTAGCCGTTACACATGAGTTAAATTGTCGTCTATGAGAGTTTATTTGTCATTTTGGTTTTTGAATTTTTCCTCGCTGGAGAAGGAGGGTGTAAAGACAGAGGACTTTGGGACACTTTCCGTTTTCTCAAATTCTAAACATTGGTTAGTCTGTTTGTTGTCATGGACCAATTAATCTTGATTTTCTAAAGAACAATGACTGTGAAAGGAAAGTATGACCCATGGACCGTGTTTAGTATGTATGACCGAGTCCCGACGTCACCATAGCGATAGCCTTAATGCGAAAGAGGCCATTTTGAACCCAAGCTAGCTGGAGCCAACTTACTTATATGGGCAATCATTCTGACAGCATTAGCTTCGGGCGGTAACAGGGGCAGACGTGTTGCTATAGCTCACCGCACACCGAAACGCAGCGCCTCGCGGCGCGTCATTTGACGCGCGTTCATGACATGTGTCAAATTACACCGGAACGCCTTGGCTAGCGTCCTTTTCCAGCTGATCGCAGATGAAATGGGTGAGTGACGTTTGGAAGTTTCTACTAATATTTTGGGGGAGGAAACAAAGTATTTACGTGAAATTATGCTGGCAAATATTACAAGAAAAGACTATTTGGACCCATTTTTTAAACAGGCTAATAACTAGCTCTGGGTAACGCTGTACTTGGGTTATCAAGCTTTCCTCGTCCATTGTGACCGGTTTACTTGAGCAATAGCGCCGACAAGTGTGTAAATTTGAGACCGCGCTCACAGCTACGTGATAAGAAGCGCAGAAGAAGAAAACTACGGGTGCTTGGAGGGACAGTTTCAGCCGCGGCGCCGCGTCTGGATTCAACAAAACTGAATCGTGGCGCCCGGTCCAGCGTCGCCGCGCGTCACTGCAACCTTGGTGTGCGTTCTCTCATAGAAAATAAAGGAGGCGGCTCTTTTGCCGCGCGTCAAGGCGTTTTGGTGTGCGTTGGGCTTAAGACGGTTGCTAAGCTAGAGTCCCCCCCGCCTCCCCTCCCCTCCCCGAATGAAGGCAACTGATTGGTCAATCCTTATACACCTCATATCTGGATTTAAAAAGACCCAAATATAAACCGCAGGATCACAGAAAGTGCCAAAACCACAGATTTATTTATTATTATTATTATTTATTTATAGCATTAGCCATCTCTATACAGTCCATGGTGTGACTTTGTGGAGTTTACAAAGTGCTTTTCTGTTGGCTGCTTTAATCCTGCACATATGCTTTTTATCTGAGCTTATAGAGATGATTTATTTACACACTTTATGCTGAAGCCAAGACACGCTCCGGGTTCTCACTGTCGCTCTGCCGCCATATGGCTCACATGCAACATTCAGAAGCATGGTTCGAATACTTATCTGTAAAAATGTTATTTAGACGTCAGAAGTGATGGACTGGGTGTTGAGAAGATTTATATTTGGGGAAAAGAGAAATAGTATTATGAAATTCTGGATGATGTATCACTTTTAACCTGGCACTCATCTGACTGTCAGCGTTCATCTCCATGAAATGAAATATTTGCAAAGGTCAGTGTGAGTGAAATGTGCAAAATCTGAAAGACATGAACGCTCTTTTCGCAGTGTTTTAATATTTTTCCCCCGTTTTAGTTCATAGTCTTAACATTTCAGAGCAGAGGACTGATGCCTGCGAACGTGTTCCACATTGTTCCGCTGTGGTGGCTCCGTGGGTTTGTGTCGGCCATAATGGTTTGTTAAGCTTCGTTATGACCCATTAAGACTTGAAATGCCCCGGCCGGCACGATGGGAGAGATGGAGCAGCATTAGTAAACACACTCTCAGACAGAGGAGATGGGAGAGGGGTGAGGGGAGAGAGGAGAGAGTAGAGTGGAGAGAGGAGAAATGAAAGTAGAGAAGAGAGGGGAGAGAGGAGAGAAGATAGGGGAGTGGAGAGTGGAGAGAGAAGAGAGGTGAGGGGAGAGAGGAGAATGGAAAAAGGGAACTGGAGAGGAGAGTGGAGGGAGAAGAGTGAAAAGAGGGGGAGAGTGGAGCGTAGAGGAGATGGGAAAGAAAAGTGGAGAGGATAGAGAAGAGGTGAGGGTTGAGGGGAGAGAGAAGAGTGGAGAGGAAAGAGGGGAGAGGAGAGAGGAGATGGGAGAATGAGATTTAGCTTTTCTCAGTTTGCCAATTGTGTGGAGACCAGGCGAGTCAAACAATGTCATACATTTTTTTTTATCAATGTGGTCCTTGCAAATAAACTGAATCGGTACCATAAGCTTTCAGCATAGATCATAAGAGTGGCTACCATGGCATTTTCAGTCTGCAATACAGTACTCAGGCTTTACCTCATGTCAAGTTTTGGTTCGGTACAAGCATAAAGTAACTAATTCTGAAGAGAAATAGCTACCCAAAAATGATATCCAAACCCACGATCAGTAAAAGTAGTGATCCCCATGTCTTAAACTATAAAATGTAGGAAAATAAGGTGTTAAAGATGACCTTCAAACAAACTTTCCACAATGGTGTTCTTGGGTTTCATTAAACTGGCCAGTAGGGGGCGAATGAGCAGAGGTGGGACAACTCAGTTTTGCTCCCATATTGTCTTATGAGAATTACATGTGTGGCGGCAACAGTGGCTCAGTTGGTAGAGCATTGGCCTTTAAGTCTGAAGGTCGTGGGTTCGAGCCCACCACAAGACCTACTTCACGACTCCCACTGATGACTGCTGTCGTTGTGTCCTTGGGCAAGACACTTAACCCCACTTTGCCTGAAGCCCCCGCTGGAAGATCTCAGCTCCTGTGGACTCACCACCTGCAGGAGGATCAGTGAGGGGCTGGTGCTCTGTGTACTGGGTGCAGCTCTGACTCCCGACCCACCCCCCCGGTCTGAGACCCATTTGGCCTCAGACCATAATGACTTTGACACTATGGACATCTATTATACATACTAGAGTTGTGGTTTTGCAGAGAACACTGAGAGGAGCCAAAGCGTCAAAAGGTGCAGACGGAGCAGAGCTGACCCCTGCCACGTCCCGGCTTCAAAGACACCAGGACCACAGACGCTCCTACTGTGAGGCAGAGTTATGGCTGCGTCGTTCTGGAGGTGAAACAGAGACAGGATCAGCTGATATATGGTTTAAAGGGACAGGGATATACACAGGCCTCTATAGGGTCAGAAGAGAGAATATAGACCAGGGATCTCCAACCTTTTTCAATCAGAGAGCTACTTTTATACCACAGACGAGGCAGAGAGCTACTCCTTTTTTTGCAGTCATTATAAAAATCTATGCAATAATTACGACAAGAGAGAACACACATGGAGAACACATGTAAATATACCATAATACTGAATAACCTTCTTAGATGTTTACTTGTAATAGATATGTATTGATCATGTGTTAAATTCTAAATCCTTTGGGGAGCTACCTGAAAGGGGCTGGCGAGCTACTGGTTGCCCCCGAGCAATAGGTTGGAGACGACTGGAATAGACTTAAAAAGCAAGTTCGTCCATGACATCAGACACAGGGACTGTATGGTCTCCTACTGGGACTCTGAGGAGCACAGGGACTGGCCTCCTGCTGGGACTCTGAGGAGCACAGGGACTGGCCTCCTACTGGGACTCTGAGGAGCACAGGGACTGGCCTCCCAGAGTCAGGGCTAAACATGGGAATGCAGTGGTTCAGATTTATGCAGCTAAAATCTGGAACAGTCTTCCTGAAAATGTGAGACAGGCTTCTTCTCTGACAAATCCAGGTTAAAAGCAGTTTGGTTTAGCAGTGCATACAACTAAAGTATTGTATCTTCACTTTTGATAATATACTGTGATATTTATGGGTTTAATGCCTTGTTTTGAGGCACCTTGAGTTTCCTTGTGTATTAAATGTGCTATACAAATAAACATGGCTTGGAATGATGTTAGTTTCCATATTCATTCTTAATTTACTTCTGCATTTAACTACAAAAAACGAACTTTTTTTTCTTTTCTTTATGCAAATGTAGGGGTTATTTCTTCTGTTATTTCCTGCATTTAGAGGTTATTTCTTCAATGTGACTATAAATGTTTTCATATAGAACCAATAAACCCAACACAAACTCTTTCTTTAGCGGCTGTGCGTTCGTGGCCCTGACTCCTGACCAGGCCGGGCTCATGGTGATGTTGTATTACGACTGAAAGGATGAAACACTTCTGGAGCTAAAGTCGGAACAGTTGAGCAGCTCGGCCTCAGAGGGAGAACAATCCAGCGTGAGTGAGGAGTCAAGGACATGTTTAATGCACCAATCTGCTGCTGGGATTCACGGCGTCTCCTGAGCTCACGACTGTCGAGGGGAAAAGGCTCGTTTTGGATCCAGGTAACGACACATTCTTCTCATTCCTCAACTACATTTTTGGTGTTTGTTCCCAGAATGATGACATAACCGCAGTAAATGATGAGTAATTTTACAAAGGTAGTCACAAAACATTTTTTTGTTTAAAACTATATGCATTCATTTTTTTTTTCAATTTACAATTTCTGTTGAAGGTACCAGAAGCAAATGGAAATACAATTTTATAGAGTAAGTATTCTTTATTAATTTATCACAGTTCCCAGAGAAAATCACGTTGGACATTGGGGAGGGCATATGAGCCAGCTCGGACTCTGGGGAGCTCAGGGACTGGCCTCCTGCTGGGACACTGACGAGCACAGGGACTGGCCTCCTGCTGGGACACTGAGGAGCACAGGGACTGGCTTCTTCAGTGTTGGGTAAGCACTAGGTGGCAGTCAGTCTACTCAGTCCTAGATCTACAGCCTCAGTCCTGGATCCACAGCATCAGTCCTGGATCTACAGCCTCAGTCCTGGATCTACAGCCTCAGTCCTGGATCTACAGCCTCAGTCCTGGATCTACAGCCTCAGTCCTGGATCTACAGCCTCAGTCCTGGATCCACAGCCTCAGTCCTAGATCTACAGCCTCAGTCCTGGATCTAAAGCCTCAGTCCTGGATCTAAAGCCTCAGTCCTGGATCTACAGCTTCAGTCCTGGATCTATGGTCTCAGTGCATTAGGCCTTTTCCATTCAAACCTATAGCACATGTATTTAGCCTGGTTTACATTCTCTTGTTTTTAATCCATGTTCAAACAAGCATTCATTCATTCATATATTTACTATATACTGTACGCTTCCAGAGAGACGCTTGCATAACCAATCCAAATTAGTCACATTTGTGGATAGAGCGAGACAGCCTACAAACACTTCTAGCAATAATATCCTTGTCGTTCTCAAATCAATGGCTCCAAGTGCAGTGGTGGTGCAGGAACGATTATAGAGGAGGAGTGGATGAGCCGACTACTGAGCAGAGGCCCTTATCGCTGTAACGTCATGCATTCTCACCAAGAACTGCATCTCCTTTGCCCTCGAGGAAAGAGCCACAATCTTGATTATTTTTTTCCCCGTCTGGAGGTATTACGGCATTTTATCTCCTTCCAAAACCGTCTTTCGTGCTGCATATATATAGTCTCCCACTATCTGTAACAACAACAAAAACAAGCAATCGTTGTGCGGTTTCCGAGATAAGTTCTGTATCTGCGTGATGCACGGATTGGGGTTGTTGTAGTTTGTCGGAAAAGTGTGATAATGAGTTGTGAGTTTAGAGTAGAAAACCCATGTATACAATGGAGAATGTACATTGTATATTTGGAGTATGTGGGATAGGGCAGTGTGCCATGTAATCCTGTTTGGGGAAGGGTAATGAAGCTTAAGTGCAAATTCAGACTGGAAGACTACATGCTGCAGTTTCATCCCATCCAGGGCCAGCCTCTCCACCCTCAGCCAATCACAGCTCGACCGGCCCCCCTGCCAACCAATGACAGCGAAGCGGGCGGTTTAAAAGCAACCACTTCCTACTAACCAAAACTTCTTGAAGGTCTTGCTAGCCACTGCCTCCCCAGCTCCTCCTCTGGTTAATGCTCTTGCTCCTGCTTTAGCTCCTCCTTTGGCTCCTGCTCTGGCTCCTGCTCTGGCTCCTGCTCTGGCTCCTCCTCTGGCTCTTGCTCTAGCTCCTGCTCTGGCTCCTGCTCTGGCTCCTCCTCTGGCTCCTCCTCTGGCTCCTTCTCTAGCTCCTGCTCTGGCTCCTGCTCTGGCTCCTGCTCTAGCTCCTGCTTTAGCTCCTCATTTGGCTCCTGCTCTAGCTTCTGCTCTGTCTCCTCCTCTGGCTCCTGCTCTAGCTCCTGCTCTGGCTCCTGCTCTGGCTCCTGCTCTAGCTCCTGCTTTAGCTCCTCCTCTGGCTCCTGCTCTAGCTCCTGCTTTAGCTCCTCCTTTGGCTCCTGCTCTAGCTCCTGCTCTGTCTCCTCATCTGGCTCCTGCTCTGGCTCTTGCTCCAGCACCTGCTCTGCCTGCTGTCTGCTGCCTGCTACCTGCTGACTAAACCATATCCAAACATGATGTGACTGATGATTTGAGGCGTCTGAGGTTTGATAGCATCTGTCAGGATATGAAAGACCTTCTGCTTTTTCAAACAGAACAGTGTGACGAACGCACTAAAACAAAAAAACTCTTCCAGACACTTGATGTTTGACAAATATTTCAGAGATTTATGATTTATTGTAATTTTAAAAACAGCAGATTGATTGAAGATGTAGCTTCATGGGTGACTTGTCTGCTTTTGGCCTGGTTTCGCCCGGAAAGACCCATAGAGAAAAAATAGCGTCAGTATTTATGTGGAGAAAAGCAGGCGACACTCTGAAGTCTAATCACAGACGAGGAGACGACACAGGCAGTGACTGAAGTGACTGAAGTGACTGCAAAAAGTGATGAAAAAATTGAGCACATTTTGACTGCCTTTAAAAAAGATTTGCCAATGGGACAAAGCGGAATTGTCTTTGAAAAAAGTTACCAGAAATATTTCCCTTGGAATGAGCAAATGTGAAACAGTTCTTGAATTATGACTGTCTTTGTCCCTTTGGCAAATCTTGTTTTAAAACAGTCAGAATGTGCACAAAATAACTTGATTAAAGCAATTGTTACCTCAAACTTTATCATTTTTTCCAATGTAGGCCATAAGTGTAATAAATGGTAGAGAATTGATGTCTGGGGGAAAAAAACACATTCTTTTTCCTATTTTCTTCTTTTAGTTTGGGTATTTATTCATTCCAAACCCGTGTACACAGATTGTTCTTGTCTGAATATCCTTCTATGCAGCTCAGCCTTAATGCAGTCTCCCTGGAACACTCGCCTCCATATTAAGAAGTATATTGAAAAGTTCCCCCTCCCCTGCGGCTCTGGGATCATGCTACACATGTTTAATTTGAGCTGGTGGTGATACGTGAGTGAAGTTGCAACAAAAAGATATTTCCCCTTTGAAAATGCGTCAAAAAGTTGTATTCTTGTAGTTAAAATCGTTAATATGTTTGGTTACAGTCAATTTAAAAGAATAAGAAAATGGCTTCAGGGTGAAACTGTATTTGTATGGGTTATTTTTGTTGTCTTCCATGGAGCACGGCCAGGACTCTCAGGACAAACAGCTAACTCCGAACCCGAGGACATTTATATTCCGAGCACACATTTCCCCCACAGACGGCAGAGGTCAGGTCTGAGGATAACACAAACTAAAATAGTGACTGTAGTCGTACAGTGGAGGCAAGAATATGATCCAGTCTGAGGTTTGGAGAGTCTCCTCAAGGTCCAGATCAAACAAAGGTCTTATTATTTTTACATGAGTCAAAAGCAGAAAATATCTCACATTATTTCAATTCACTGTGGTAGTGTATCGCACGAAATCACAACAGCGGTCTCAACTCTTGGAGGAGTTTACAAAGTTTTCTAGTGGCCAACAACAGATCAGCGGAACAAACACAGGAAAGGCGATGGTAACGAACACATACAGGACGACCACTGTCTATTAATGTTGATTAATGTACTGTCCTCAGACCCTCACTGTCCTCAGACCCTCACTGTCCTTAGACCCTCACTGTCCTCAGACCCTCACTGTCCTCAGACCCTCACTGTCCTCAGACCCTCACTGTCCTCAGACCCTCACTGTCCTCAGACCCTCACTGTCCTCAGACCCTCACTGTCCTCAGACCCTCACTGTCCTTAGACCCTCACTGTCCTCAGACCCTCACTGTCCTCAGACCCTCACTGTCCTTAGACCCTCACTGTCCTCAGACCCTCACTGTCCTTAGACCCTCACTGTCCTCAGACCCTCACTGTCCTTAGCCCCTCACTGTCTAAGGACAGTGAGGGGCTAAGCGCGTGTCAGCGCTCAGTCAGTCCAGTCATAGTACCCGGTCTATGGACTAGACCAGAGGGTCTAAGGACAGACCCTCACTTAGACCCTCCAGAATCTGCAAGGAACATTCTTGTGAAACCTCAGGAAGGCCCAATTTGAGAGAGGGATCTACTCCCAAAGGCGGCTCCCAGGCAGGGACAGGGTCTAGGCCAAGCCCCTGCGAAATGAATGGTTGTGCTCAGTGGCGCTTTGTGCCGGCATGGGGGCTGAAAGATTAGCGGAACTCTGCTTGGAACTCGCACAGATCCATGGGAACTCGCCTGTATAATGGGCATCGTCTGGTCCTCCCGGTTCTGCGCAGTGGATGAACTCCCATGATGCGTTGAGCGAAATACGCGTGTCATGCACGCGCACAGAAGGGCTCGGCCACGCTCTGATCAATCAGAGCAGGTCATCAGAGCTGGAGTTTGAGCGGGAGCCAGAAGAGCAGAGTTTGTGGCACTAAAGTGTGGATTTAAAGAAAACCGAAGGATTTAGGAAGAAAATAAGTTCAGGATAATAAGGGACACTAAAATCCCCACAAAATCCGACCTTTATGAAAGCTGTAGGTCCTCTGTCAGCTGAGGTCGCGCTGTTTAAGTCTACATCGAGTTCTATGGTGAAAATGTCTGGGTAGCCCACGTGAATTTAGTCTGGTTCAGTCTGCAGTACTGCGAGAATCCCCCGAGCACATGGGTTCTTCAGCTCCAAGCTAGTAATACCCTATCCAGTTTATATAATAGATCCATGGTCTAGGCCATGAGTCCAGGCCGGGGGTAATCACAGGTGCAGGTCAAAGTGTCTGGGTTCAGAGGTCCCATCATCACACCATGAATAATACGATGGGACAGCAGGTGAAACGCAATGAAAAAACTACAGCTGAAGCTAAATTTATCTAGTTACAGACAGTAGGCCTCACTCAGTTCTCGTCAGCGGGGAACTGTTAACACTGCACTTAAGAGACTATAAATTCAGTGTTAACAGATATGATAATGTGAAGAGCTCTTCCATGGTCCGTACGTAACTGAGCTGGAGATGCAGAGGCTGAAGGGCCCTCAGCTGAATGCAAACATCACTTACACGAGTGAATATGTCTTTACAATTATAGAGAACAATGGTTATAAAAGTAGGATGGGATAATTGTACATCAACAGATGCACTTTTTAATCATTCTGAAAGTAGGGCGTCTGAAGAGTGAACAGTGGGGACAATGTATGTGAAGGAAATATTTGTTTGTGTTATTAGTCATAGTTAAATGTATTGACCTGGTCCTGGTCCCAGAAGAGAGAAGCTGGATCTCAGTCCTGGATCTACAGCCTCAGTCCTGGATCTACAGCCTCAATCCTGGATCTACAGCTCCAGTCCTGGATCTACAGCCTCAGTCCTGGATCTACAGCTCCAGTCCTGGATCTACAGCCTCAGTCCTGGATCTACAGCCTCAGTCCAGGATCTATACAGCCTCAGTCCTGGATCTACAGCCTCAGTCCTGGATCTATACAGCCTCAGTCTTGGATTTACAGCCTCAGTCATGGATCTATACAGCCCAGTCTTGGATTTACAGCCTCAGTCATGGATCTATATAGCCTCAGTCTTGGATCTACAATGTTGATGATTCACATTTTCTAAGATTCTTTACAAGGGGTACTTTTTTACAAATTGTTAGCCAATTATCAACCATATCGTCTGTAATAAGTTTCTCTTTGTCAGTGAAGTTACAGAAGTCAATGCACTTTTGAGCGATTATTCAAAATCTCGCTCAAAAAGCCCATTTCCGAGTTTCTTCTGTAATGTACTGTATGATGTGGATTTGTGTGTTTTTCTATGTCATCACTGTAGCCAGCCCCTCCTACAGTATGATACCTGTCAGGAGTACTGTAAAGAAGTGGATGGTTCAAAAGCAATGTCCTGACATGTTCAGTGCTTGAGGCTGATGAGAGTAGACACCACAGTAGATGATAAAACACAGAAGCACAGATATTTATAGCTTAACTTTTGTACCTTCTCACAAATTTATACTGTGGTTTGTCTCATGCAAGATTCAGTTGGAAGAATGAGAACCCCACAGAAAATTACAGATGAGGATGTGGTAGACTTTTGTTTATTATGATTTAATTCATTACATATTATAATAAACTTTAGATGTTTATTATTATGGACATTGTCTATTTTTCTTGGTGCTTTACTCCTGTTTTTTGCAATCTTTTTCTTTGTACTGTTATAGTCTATTCCCTCTATTTATGAACACAAGGGGAAGATAGGGGGGAATAAAAGCAAAAAAAAAAACATATGCTGTGTTATGTAACCTGAAAAATATGTAAACTGATGGAGACGATGCAATTAAATTTGAAAATTCTGGTGGGAAATGTGAAAATCCTGTCGACAACCACACTTCTACGCAGGGTTACACCATTGCCTGTATATGTAGATGGCCAATGCTAACTCACTAGCTCAACGCAGCCCAATAGGAAGGTGCTCATAAACAAAGTTTTACTCCAACTCGCACTGGCTCCTCACACTCAGTCACACTCACCATTTTGGGCTTAAAAAGTCCGTGGTTTAGCTCCGTCTATGATCCTGGGGTGGATTTTTGATGTTGCCATGGGGATTAACAGAGGCCTTTAGTTGTGGGGGAAATGCCAGCTTTCCTTAGCAACCATCTTAGCAACAGGTCTGCGGTCAAGCTAACACCATTGCAACAAATTCCTATGTATGGTAATTGGCTCCAGCTAGCTTGCGTTCAAACCTGCATTCTTCTGCGTTAAGGCTATCACTTTAGTGATGTCAGCGCTCAGTCAGTCCAGTCACAGTACCTGGTCTATGGACTAGACCAGACCTGGGTAAAGTGCGGCCCGGTTGCCACATACGGCCCGATTCACGTTTCCATGTGGCCCTCAGACCTTTTCTCATCCCCAAACTTTATACTGTCTTCCCCTATTTAAATGAATGAGAATCAATACCCAATGAAGGTTTGCAACTTTGTGAGTGCTATAATGGCATGTTATACATCATAATCATCAAAAACATTTATCTTCCCACAATATTTAGTTTACTTAGTCACACATGTTTATTATATTGCTATCTGAATTAGCATACACTAATAAAAAATGGGAAATATGTTGTTCCAAATTGAAGAAGAAAAATGGCAAACACCCGAAAACAAATCTGGCCCTCCACAAAATAACGTGCCCCGGCCCAAGCAGAAAATAATTGCCCACCCCTGGACTCGACTCACAAATGACTCACAAAAAAAGAAGAGGGGAATACAAAGTGTGACATCACTTCACAAAGACAAATGAACATTCTTTGTTGCCTCTATCTTTATTACCAATCCCTCAACTTGGCCAAACAGCGGCGTATTTTGGGAAAGTGTAGGTTAGGTGTAGTGTTACCGATTCATTGAGCGTGTGCGTGTGTGTGTATGTGTGTGCGTGTATGTTAAGAATCATAAGGAGAGCAGTGGGTGTCCGTGGAGTTGACAGAGGACTTTGTAATCGAGTTATCGCGCACTTCCCACAGCCCTCTCCTCGTGTTTGTTCAGGAGGCTGCGGAGATGTTTGCTTATGCTGAATATGACACCTCCTCGTGCGAGAGCGAAGACCGGGGTTTACATTCCTCCGACACGTTGTGGATCCGCTCGAATGTGAACAGTTGTGGTTAAAGTTGTGTGAATCAATATGGAGTCGTTTGTCCTGGTGTGAGTCATTTTCACCTGGTTTTATTTAGATTTTTATAGTTTTTTTCTTGTTGTGTGTTTTACTTCCTGTCTGTCCTGTCGATTGTTTGCCCCGCCCTTATGTGTTACACCTGTGTCCCCCTGTGTGTGTGTGTGTGTGTGTATGTGTTTAGACCCTGTGTGTGTGTGTGTGCGTTTAGACCGTGTGTGTGTGTGTGTTGAGACCCTGTGTGTGTTGAGACCCTGTGTGCGTTTAGTGCTCCCACAGTTTGGAAAAACTGTTTCTATCAATCAATTCATTTTGTTTATAAAGCCCTTTACAACACTCAAAGCGATCAAAGTGCTTCAAATAAAATTACATAAAATCCACTCAAACATTTATACATTCAGATAATAAAACAGTTAAAAGTATTAAAAAAGCATTAGCCACTATAAAGTACTAATTTCATAAGCAGGACAATAAATATGCAGTATTCAGCACTTGAGCCTCTTTCAGAACGCGATATGAATTACTAATGAAAGCAACACAACCAGAAAACGTGGATCTGACGTCTGTAAATCTGAAGGATCATAATAATCAAAGTGTCGGTTCCAGTCGAACGATTTGTGTCGACGGCTGAACGGAGCTTTCTACTGGAACTTAATGGAAACCGAAGCCATGAGCAAATATGCAAAACAACATCGGCGTCCAAAACGTGCTTACTGTAAGCTTGTATCCAAACAGGGAGGGAGGTATTGTTTCCGTGGGTCGTGACGCTGGTTTGGAAAGTGTTGCATGTGTTTGAGGCTCCAAGGGCCCACAGAGGAGGGGCCCCCGTCCAGGTGAGCTCATTATAGTCCTGGTTTATAACACACTGTTGCCTCTGTGCTATGTGCTCTGGAGGGGGAGAGGAGGGGAGGGGGGTTATGGGGCTGCCTGAAGCCTGGGTCCTGGTCCTGGTCCTCTCAGGGAGCAAAGAGAACAATTACACGTCTACAGTCACATGAGGTACGGTATTATGGAGATTTCATGACACTTTGAAGCAACTGCGTTTATTTTATTTTGTTTATTTATTATATTTTGTATTTTTATTTGAGGACAAGCCCCTTGAGATTAATCATTTCAAAGTAGATGGATATAAAAACATTTATTGAGCTGAGCAGAAACGATAATTCAATGCACCACACAAGTTATGATTAAACTCTGCGGCTTCCATTCTTCACTTTCTCTCTGTACATACTGTACATTCATCCATCTTTCACACACACATGCGTACAAATACACACTGTCACTCTCTCTCTCTCAATACCCACACACAAACATACTCTTCAGTGACATTCTGAAGGAGCAGTATAAATCATGTGCAATACTGCTCCTTCAGAATGTCACTGACTGAACAATATCACTACTTTATCTACTTCTTATCCTGCACTATATGTACAGTATATAACTCTGCACTACTGCATATATATATATATTTATATATTATTTTGAAAGACATTTACAGCATTTACAGATAGTTAAGTAACATAGTTACTACTTTTTTGTATATTTTGTGTGCTCCCTGTGTGCTCTTACTACTGTCCTGTCTGTGCGCTGCAACATCAAAATTTCTCCGCTGTGGGACGAATAAAGGAACTCTTATCTTATCTTATCTCTTCCTCTCTTCCTCTCTTTCTCTCACACACACTCACAGTCATCACAGGTCGGTCCACTGCTACGTGCTTTCAGTCTCCAACGTGGAAGAAAGTGTTATTCACTTTGGACTGTGATGTAACTGTACTTTTGATATAGATTCTATATGATAAAGAACATAAGGGTCTAAAATCCCAGAGAACTTTTCCAATCCAGAGCATGGGATCAGACCAGAAACAAGCGTGTAGCCAGGGAATATCATAAATTTACCAAGAAGCAAAGACTCACACTGCAATGACTCTTAATGTCGTAACTACTTGCACCTTGACAAAATAATGTATACTGTGTGTCACTGATTCCCAATCAATATATATTTTGGATGTTTTTAACAAAACTGTAAAGCACTTTGTGTTGCATTGTTTGTATGAAAAGCGCTTTATAAATAAAATTTGATTGATTGATTGATTGATATATCAACCTGAAGGGTTGTTGCTAATTATTACTATTGTTATCTTTTTAGAATACCTGACAGAGAACCTGACAGAGAACCTGACAGAGAACCTGACAGAGAACCTGACAGAGAACCTGACAGAGAACCTACAGAGAACCTACAGAGAACCTGACAGAGAACCTACAGAGAACCTACAGAGAACCTGACAGAGAACCTACAGAGAACCTGACAGAGAACCTACAGAGAACCTGAGAGAGAACCTGACAGAGAACCTGACAGAGAACCTGACAGAGAACCTGACAGAAAACCTACAGAGAACCTGAAAGAGAACCTGAAAGAGAACCTACAGAGAACTTGACAGAGAACCTGACAGAGAACCTGACAAAGAACCTGACAGAGAACCTGACAGAGGACCTGACAGAGAACCTGACAGAGAACCTGACAGAGAACCTGACAGAGAACCTGACAGAGAACCTACAGAGAACCTACAGAGAACCTACAGAGAACCTGACAGAGAACCTGACTGAGAACCTACAGAGAACCTGACAGAGAACCTGACAGAGAACCTACAGAGAACCTACAGAGAACCTGACAGAGAACCTACAGAGAACCTGACAGAGGACCTGACAGAGAACCTGACAGAGGACCTGACAGAGAACCTGACAGAGAACCTGACAGAGAACCTGACAGAGAACCTGACAGAGAACCTACAGAGAACCTACAGAGAACCTACAGAGAACCTGACTGAGAACCTACAGAGAACCTACAGAGAACCTACAGAGAACCTGACAGAGAACCTGACAGAGAACCTGACAGAGAACCTGAGAGAGAACCTGACAGAGAACCTGACAGAGAACCTGACAGAGAACCTGACAGAAAACCTACAGAGAACCTGACAGAGAACCTACAGAGAACCTGACAGAGAACCTACAGAGAACCTGAGAGAGAACCTGACAGAGAACCTGACAGAGAACCTGACAGAGAACCTGACAGAAAACCTACAGAGAACCTACAGAGAACCTGAAAGAGAACCTGACAGAGAACTTGACAGAGAACCTGACAGAGAACCTGACAGAGAACCTACAGAGAACCTACAGAGAACCTGACAGAGAACCTGACAGAGAACCTACAGAGAACCTGACAGAGAACCTACAGAGAACCTGAGAAAGAACCTACAGAGAACCTACAGAGAACCTGACAGAGAACCTACAGAGAACCTACAGAGAACCTGACAGAGAACCTGACAGAGAACCTGACAGAGAACCTGACAGAGAACCTGAGAGAGAACCTGACAGAGAACCTGACAGAGGACCTACAGAGGACCTACAGAGAACCTGACAGAGAACCTGACAGAGAACCTACAGAGAACCTGACAGAGAACCTGACAGAGAACCTGAAAGAGAACCTTCCGAGAACCTGACAGAGAACTTGACAGAGAACCTGACAGAGAACCTGACAGAGAACCTACAGAGAACCTACAGAGAACCTGACAGAGAACCTATAGAGAACCTGAGAGAGAACCTATAGAGAACCTGAGAAAGAACCTACAGAGAACCTACAGAGAACCTGACAGAGAACCTACAGAGAACCTGACAGAGAACCTGACAGAGAACCTACAGAGAACCTGACAGAGAACCTACAGAGAACCTGAGAGAGAACCTGACAGAGAACCTGACAGAGAACCTACAGAGAACCTGACAGAGAACCTACAGAGAACCTGACAGAGAACCTGACAGAGAACCTACAAAGAACCTACAGAGAAACTACAGAGAACCTGAGAGAGAACCTACAGAGAACCTACAGAGAACCTGACAGAGAACCTGACAGAGAACCTGACAGAGAACCTACAGAGAACCTGACAGAGAACCTGACAGAGAACCTGACAGAGAACCTACAGAGAACCTGACAGAGAACCTGACAGAGAACCTGACAGAGAACCTACAGATTTAGTGTGGATTTTAGTGTCTCTTGTCGTCCTGAACTTTTCTTCTTCTTAAATCCTTCGGTTTTCTTTAAATCCACACTTTACTTCCACAAACTCTGCTCCTTTCCTTCCCGCTCTGACTCCGCTCTGATGAGCAGCTCTGATTGGTCAGAGCGCGGCGAGCCCCTCTGTGCATGAAAGCTACACACGCTTATTTGAAGCAAAGCATCATGGGAGCTCGTCCACTGCACAGAACCGGGAGGACCAGATGATGCCCAAATACAGAGTTCTGCTGATCTCCCGGTCTCCATGAAGTCCCATGATCCACTGAGCACAAACCATTCATGTGAACAGGACGCCATCTTGGATCAGCGGGGCGTGGCTCAGTCAGAATGTGTTTAAATGAGATCAAACTCTGGGTTTAAGTTTCTTTACCTCAGACCTTGGTCGGGGTCTCTCTCTCGGAGGTCTCAGCAGTGGAGGATCTTCATGAAGGCTTTTCTGAACTCGATGTTGAAGGTGGTGTAGATGACCGGGTTCACGGCGCTGTTGAGGTAACCCAGCCACGTGACGGCGCTGTAGAGCGACGGCGTGATGCAGCAGCTGGAGCAGTGCGCCTTCAGGACGTGGGTGAGGAAGAACGGCAGCCAGCAGATGATGAAGACTCCTGTACAGACAGACAGGGATGAAGAGTCCTGTACAGACAGACAGTGATGAAGAGTCCTGTGCAGACAGACAGTGATGAAGAGTCCTGTGCAGACAGACAGTGATGAAGACTCCTGTGCAGACAGACAGTGATGAAGACTCCTGTGCAGACAGACAGTGATGAAGAGTCCTGTGCAGACAGACAGTGATGAAGACTCCTGTACAGACAGACAGTGATGAAGAGTCCTGTACAGACAGACAGTGATGAAGAGTCCTATACAGACAGACAGTGATGAAGACTCCTGTGCAGACAGACAGGGATGAAGAGTCCTGTACAGACAGACAGTGATGAAGACTCCTGTGCAGACAGACAGTGATGAAGAGTCCTGTACAGACAGACAGTGATGAAGACTCCTGTGCTGACAGACAGTGATGAAGAGTCCTGTACAGTACTGTAATAGTTTAGTTATTACAGGTGATTTTAATATTCATGTGGATAATGTTGATGACAGAAATGCAAATGAGCTGAGTTCTGTACTTGAATCCTTTGATCTCACTCAGCATGTAAGTGGCCCCACCCACAGCAGAGGGCACACTCTAGATCTGTTAGTTACAAAGGGGGTGAATATTTCAAATGTAAACGTGGTCGATGTTGCTCTTTCGGATCATTTCTGTGTTTTTTTTGACATGTGTTTCACTAACAAACCACCAGTGGACTCTGCAACTGTACGAAGAAGACACATCAATGAAAATACGAGTGAACTATTTATGGGAATGATAAACTTTGAGAATGCATCGTATTCTACTGTAGATGAACTGTTTAACTCTGTCACCTCTAGTGTTTTGAATGTTCTGGATACCGTTGCTCCTGTGAAGGTTAAAATAGTGAAAAATAAGCAGAAGGCGCCGTGGGCTAAAGCAGACTCGGTCAGAGCACAAAAGAGAAAGTGCCGGAGGGCCGAGCGGAAGTGGCGCAAGTCCAACCTCCAGGTTTATTACGAGATCTTCAAAGATAAGTTGTGCGAGTTTAACCGGGTGCTACGTAGTACGAGAGAAAGGTATTTTTCTGAAATGATTGAAGGCTGCAGCAACAATCTGCGTGTTCTGTTTTCAACAGTTAATAGATTAACAAACCCCCCTGTTCAAATGCCATTAGAGCTAACTTCCAAACGTAAATGTAATGAGTTTGCACATTTTTTCAATGACAAGGTTCAAGGCATCAAAAACGCCATTGTCTCCAATCCACAGATAACCATCCAACAGCCAGAAAGGCTCTCTGAGCTAACTCACTTTGCACCTGTAAATGATCAAACTGTCCAAGAGATAATCTCCAGTCTGAGCTCCTCCACATGCAGCCTGGATGTACTACCCACTAGATTTCTGAAGTCTGTTCTGAGCAGTCTGTTACCTTCACTCACACAGATAGTAAACATGTCCCTTCATTCTGGAATATTCCCAAAGGCCCTGAAAACTGCAGTCATTAGGCCCCTGCTAAAAAAGAGCAGTCTGGATGCTACGGTACTTAACAACTATCGTCCCATCTCAAATCTGCCATTTATGGGGAAAGTCCTTGAGAAAGTTGTCTACCTACAGCTTACTAGATTTCTTATAATCAACAACTCATTTGATATGTTTCAGTCCGGCTTTAGACCCCACCACAGCACTGAGACTGCTCTTGTTAAGGTTACAAACGATATCCGGCTGAACACTGACGCAGGCAAAGTCTCAATCTTAATCTTGTTAGATCTAAGTGCTGCCTTTGACACCGTCGACCATGAGATCCTCTTACAGAGACTAGAGGACTGGGTTGGCGTCGCTGGCACCGCCCTAAGTTGGTTTAGGTCTTACCTTGAGGACAGGAAGTACTTTGTGGAGATTGGAAACTGTGTCTCAGATCATATGGCCCTGACCTGTGGAGTACCACAGGGGTCGATCCTGGGACCTCTTCTGTTCAATCTCTACATGCTGCCGTTAGGTCAGTTAATACGCAGAAACAAAGTTTCCTATCATAACTATGCAGACGACACTCAGATCTATGTCTCACTGACTGCAGGAGAACATGGACCAGTGGACTCACTCCTTCACTGTATCCAACAGATCAGTGAGTGGATGCAAAACAACTTCCTTCAGCTAAACGCAGACAAAACTGAAATGATTGTCTTTGGTCCAGAAACAAAGAGAGAGCGTCATCTGTCACCTACAGTCTCTCTCCCTAAAACCTTCAAACAAGGTCAGAAATCTAGGGGTAATACTGGACTCAGACTTAAATTTTAATAGCCACATCAAATCAGTAACATCAGCAGCTTTTTACCATCTAAAAAACATTGCCAGGATCAAAAACATAGTGTCTAAAGCAGACTTGGAGATTCTTATCCATGCATTTGTCTCCAGTAGGTTAGACTACTGCAATGGCCTGCTCACAGGTCTGTCCAAACAGGCTGTAAAACAGCTGCAGTACATTCAAAATGCAGCAGCTCCAGTCCTGACTAGAACCAGGAAGTACGACCACATTAGTCCTGACTAGAACCAGGAAGTACGACCATATTAGTCCTGACTAGAACCAGGAAGTACGACCACATTAGTCCTGACTAGAACCAGGAAGTACGACCATATTAGTCCTGACTAGAACCAGGAAGTACGACCATATTAGTCCTGACTAGAACCAGGAAGTACGACCATATTAGTCCTGACTCGAACCAGGAAGTACGACCATATTAGTCCTGACTAGAACCAGGAAGTACGACCACATTAGTCCTGACTAGAACCAGGAAGTACGACCATATTAGTCCTGACTAGAACCAGGAAGTACGACCATATTAGTCCTGACTAGAACCAGGAAGTACGACCACATTAGTCCTGACTAGAACCAGGAAGTACAACCACATTAGTCCTGACTAGAACCAGGAAGTACGACCACATTAGTCCTGACTAGAACCAGGAAGTACGACCATATTAGTCCTGACTAGAACCAGGAAGTACGACCACATTAGTCCTGACTAGAACCAGGAAGTACGACCACATTAGTCCTGACTAGAACCAGGAAGTACGACCATATTAGTCCTGACTAGAACCAGGAAGTACGACCATATTAGTCCTGACTAGAACCAGGAAGTACGACCATATTAGTCCTGACTAGAACCAGGAAGTACGACCACATTAGTCCTGACTAGAACCAGGAAGTACAACCACATTAGTCCTGACTAGAACCCAGGAAGTACGCCAACATTAGTCCTGACTAGAACCAGGAAGTACGACCACATTAGTCCTGACTAGAACCAGGAAGTACGACCACATTAGTCCTGACTAGAACCAGGAAGTACGACCACATTAGTCCTGACTAGAACCAGGAAGTACGACCACATTAGTCCTGACTAGAACCAGGAAGTACGACCATATTAGTCCTGACTAGAACCAGGAAGTACGACCACATTAGTCCTGACTAGAACCAGGAAGTACGACCATATTAGTCCTGACTAGAACCAGGAAGTACGACCACATTAGTCCTGACTAGAACCAGGAAGTACGACCATATTAGTCCTGACTAGAACCAGGAAGTACGACCACATTAGTCCTGACTAGAACCAGGAAGTACGACCATATTAGTCCTGACTAGAACCAGGAAGTACGACCATATTAGCCCTAACCCTAACCCTGCTGGGACTCTGAGGAGCACAGGGACTGGACTCCTGCTGGGACTCTGAGGAGCACAGGGACTGGACTCCTGCTGGGACTCTGAGGAGCACAGGGACTGGACTCCTGCTGGGACTCTGAGGAGCACAGGGACTGGACTCCTGCTGGGACTCTGAGGAGCACAGGGACTGGACTCCTGCTGGGACTCTGAGGAGCACAGGGACTGGCCTCCTGCTGGGACTCTGAGGAGCACAGGGACTGGACTCCTGCTGGGACTCTGAGGAGCACAGGGACTGGACTCCTGCTGGGACTCTGAGGAGCACAGGGACTGGACTCCTGCTGGGACTCTGAGGAGCACAGGGACTGGACTCCTGCTGGGACTCTGAGGAGCACAGGGACTGGACTCCTGCTGGGACTCTGAGGAGCACA